CACATGTGGTAAGTGAGACTCACTTTAAAATGAGTTTTTGAGCTTTGAGGGAAAAAAGGATTTTCAGTCAGAAAAGTATTTAGTATTTATGAGTATTTAATCTGCCTTAGCTGGACTGCAGGAGAAAAAGTCCAACAGAATGAGAGCCTTAGAGAAACCTAGAAAATAATAGGACTCAATCCCTGTTTGCAGTTGCTCCTGTAAGTGTCCTCAGCTCTTGCTGTCACTGGCAGTTTTTGCCAATGAGTCACAGTGAAGATTTCCTCAATTTTAAACATTTCCTAATTTTTATCATTCATTCATTACCTTTGCTGCTCATGAGACTGAGTATCATGAAAATGACCCCTTAGAGACTATTTATATCATTAGCCACATATCCTGTTAATGAAGATGCCAGGATTTCCATTCCTTCAGTCCTCTTGCTTCCTTATAAACACTGCTTCAAATCTTGGTCAGACGCTGCTCTTCATACACCAGTCTCCTACCCCACATCAAAAATTCACTTTGGCATTTCATATTCCAGGTGAACAAATGACACAAGCACGTAACTGGTCAGAAAAGGGCCTTACAGAATCAAACCCTCAGTACCCTGAGTACTTCTCAGCTGCTGACTAGATCAACCACAAAACATTGTTCTCACTTTGCACTTAACATCCAGGGCAGCCCATTGAAGTGAAACATGTGGCACTGTATCATATGACTGGTGCACAAGGGCCAGGGAACTATGAAATAGYGCTTAACTTGCTGTTCTGCAGGCACCTGCTATTTCATTTTTTATGCTTTAACGTATTTTAGAATGAGATTTATCTCCTTAGCCAGAGACACAGGCACTGCACTGATCTAGGGACTGCCCTAGACTCCTTTCAAAATCGATGGGGAGAAMGAGACACTTCCAGGGTTCAATTAATTTAATATATATATGGTAAACGTTATGATGAAATGAACTGTGCTCTAGCCCTCACTAAATATTTTGACTAGATCTATTATCTAGATCTACAATGACTATAAAAGAATGACTAATTTCATATATACTTTTATGAATAAACATGTTAAATATGTGGGAGAATGGATAGCTGGATATCTTTTATGCTCAAATCGGAAGTAAACATTTTTTAAAAACTAATTCTAAGGAGAAGTATAAACAACTATTATACCTTCATCATACTTTGAGTTGTAAAATTGCCTGGAAAACACTAAACAAACACTTAACAGATCCAAGAATTATTGTGAAGTGAAAGGAAGAAAAGAGAAACCACCTCCAAGTTTCAGAGCTACCTGCTGAGAATGTCCATGCATTCAATAAAAGGATCCTTACACTGATACTTCTCCTGGCCAATTTCTACATTGGGTTTTTTTTTTTTTCTTGTTTGCCATTATTAGAAGAAACAAATAAACAAAAAGCCAAACCAAACCAAAACCCCAAATTGTCATTATTCTCTTTCTGCTCTGCTCACATCTATTCCAAAAGTACCAGGAGAAGGATAATCCAGCAGAATACAACATAACCATGAGAAAGGCAGAAACCTGCTGAAGATGCGGGCACACACGCTGTGCTCCCCTCGTGAATGCTTCAAGGTGCCCAATTTCAGTCAACCTGGATGTTGCACTTAAATCTTTACAGAACTTTTGTCTCAGTCCAAATATAATAGTGAAGTACCCTGTTCTGTACTTGCAGCATCAGGAAAAAAAATCCTAAAATCCTAAAATTTTACATCCAGAGCAACTCTCTAAAGCCTGGAGAAGTTCTGCAAAGATAACAAGATTTTCTCTAACACTTCTTATTGACCATATTGTTCCCACCCCCGCCCAATAACTACATCCTCTCAACCTGAAGAAAATGCTGGTTTAAAAGGCAGACTGCAACCAGATCTCCACATGGCTGGAAAAGCAACATAAAACAGCAAAAACTGTCAGTCCCAAAGAGTCAGCCCTACATGGTGCTGTGACCAATGCTGCGTTCTGTGCGATGCTAATGAATTTGCTGTCAAACTTGTCCCATATTGGCAATCTCAAACTTGTCCAAACATACTGATAAAGCTCTCCCTGATGGCACTACACTTGCTTCGAACAGTCCTTACAGAAATCTCTGAAGTRGTCATAAAAGCTAAGAAAGATGAGATTAGGATGTAACAAAAGCCAACCTGAAACTTCAAGGAAAACCTGCCTCTTTATATATTTTTATGTATCAGATTATTTTAGCCTAGAAGGAACCATCTCTACTTCGATCTTATGTCATTCTATTGCCATAAAAAATACTCCAGAAACAACAAATTCTTCCTATAGCCAGATCCTGGACATGCTTATCAATGTTTATCTCTGGTTAGTTTAAGCTTGCCTTCCATATCAGAGTTCCCCTGTGATTATCACTGAAATGCAGGCATGGAGAAGGTCAAAAAGAGGACTTATTTTTTCAGTTTCAGTCTTCAACCCAATTTCCAGACTCTTCTGCAATTGTAAACCTTTGCTAAACTTTCTCCAGTTCTGGATAAAAATCARTTCCACAAACCATTTCTGCCTCCCCACAGCCTCATGTTCCTGTCACCTCCTCCTCCCTCTTCAGCCCAGGACCAGCAGCAACTGTTACAAACCTTCCTATTTTGGCTTGAATGTTCGCAAAGTGCTCAGTCATAACAGTATGAAACACGCAATTAAAAAAAAAGAAAAACCTGTTATTAGTTCAAAAAGCTTCCAAGCAGAACTACACACTCCAAGTCATGGCACAACACGTACTGCAAAGTTTTCTAAGAGGCTTTTTTTTTCCTTTCAACAAGCAGTTTCCTGATGATTTCCAGGCACTCCAACTCAATGGCCCTCAGAAAGTCTACCCCGTTGTCTTATTCACTGGTAGTTCACCCATATCAAGACTGTTGTGAATAACTCCCCAAACATATAGGAATTCTTTTGAACTGATGAGTCACATGGTCTCAAATGTATTATTATCTGCAAATTAGGGAGGAGAAACCCTGAGGACTTCAGAAGCTCCTGTCATAGGGAATCACGGTATATGTTGAGATGGGACAGGTCCTATGTCTGTTTTACACAGCTCTCGTGTACAAAGCTCCGAGTTCTCATAAAGTATCTTTTATTGCTTTTTATTTTTGCAAGTGTTTATACTTTTTATCATTACTTCRTAAGACTTGCTCCTCACCCACTGAAAGCTACCTGGGTATTTCCTTGCAATGATCTCACTCTGTTACAAATCAGCACAGCTCTGTACCACAGAGATGACATTTCTGAACTGGAGTTACTATCTACCAAGTCAAACTACTTCGAAAGTTGCTACTGAATTTAAGTACCAACAGACGTCTGGAGACTGTAACAGAAAACCCCTGATTAAACAACACCCAAACTGTTCCTGTGATATTKATAATATAGTCCAATAAAGAAAACTTGGATTGTTCAGGTTCTTTGCTTCCAAAATGGAAAGTAACATTCTTGTGCTTCCCAGAGAGATTTTAAGGCCTATATTTTCTCTTTGCTCCTTTTTATTTTTAATAAGAGGCCTCAAACCATTTGGGGTTGCTGAACTCAACAGCATGTGGGAGGAAAGGCTGCAGCAGCTCTGTGTCCTAGCCCTGCAGATGCTAGGAATGGAAAACGAGTTAGGAATCGAGTTTACCAAGATGACAGGGCAGACTGCAGTGAGCAGGTGCAGAACACAGCCATACAAATGTACTGAGCAGCCCCCTGTCCTGCACAACCAGCCCTTTTAACCACCTTTCCCTCTGTCTTCTTATGCTAGCTCCTCCTCAACCTGGCCTTGGATCCCTCCCTTTTYTCCAACTTTCGGTCCCTTCCCTGAACATCTCATGTCTTGGACAACGTCAAGATGCTCCTCCCCTGAACCCTGCAGCGATGCCAGGCTGCAAGGTGCTCCAGGCTGCCCTTCTTTTCACTCATGGTGATGGGTGTCACCCCGGGGCAATGGGTCCGTTACCCCCACACTCTGTGACAGCCCTAGGAGGAGCAGGGATGGGGATCCCTTTCCGTGTGGTGTTTCTGGGGCCGTCTACCTGCTGTCCTGCCTCTGTGCTCCTTGGCGGTCCTCCAGATCAGCCTTCCATCACAGAACCTCAAAGAAATCTTCCAGTTTGTTAATATAAGACACACTATTAGAAGTAATATACAAAGACAGTATTCTCCTTCAGTAAATATTTCCACCCTGAATCCCAACATAAGCAAGATGATATCTATGAAATTCTCTCTAACTCATTAACCACTGAAGAAGTAGTTTAGCAATGGGACACAGGGCTGAGTTTCAAGAATGACTAGACCAGAACAGCTTGTACTAAACATCTCTGGAGATGGATAAGATATCAAYGAGATGTGTGGTGGCATAAGGTTAATCTTTAATTGACTGCTCTGACAAAAACACAGAAGAATGGAAGTGGCTAACATTATGAACTGCCATATATGCAGACTCTGTAAACCTTTATTGCAGGCAATGGATTCCCTTACTTTTCTTATGCAGCAGTAATAAATTCACCCGTTATCATGATAAATCATGTTCACTGTTATTACCCAAAATGGAAAAACTAAAGTTGTGTAACACAAGAATGTTGTTGTGCTATTTGGAAATAGATAAAATCAGTATGGAATACATCAGAAACAGTGTTACCTATACTTATTTTAAAATATGAAAACACATCAAGAATCATGGAAAAATTATTATTTTCCAAGAATGAGAGACGACAGAAAACACGAGGAAGCATGATAAAAAGGTTCAAGATTAATGTTATGAGGAACAAAAATACTGAAAATAAAAATTGTTATACCAATCTGTGATTACAGACTAATTTGTGTATTTTATATCAGTATTTGAAAATGTTACAGACGCTGTGTTTGTAACACACACACACACACACACACACACACACACACACACACACACACATATGTATTTATATACATACACACATAAGGCTTTTATAGCCTAGTTAAACCTCTTGCATTTCTTAGATGAGCTCCTGAGACAGGAACAAGACCTCAGAAACACTCACCCCAGGATGCGGTTCATCCCGTGCCGCGCAGCGTAATGCAGCGGGGTGTTGTGCTGGTAGGTTTCTCCATAAGAAGTATTTGGGTCAAGAGTTTCCTTTAGCTGAGGGTTGCTCTCATATATTTGGCAGGCCAGGTTTTCATCTCCATTTATAAGGGCTTTGCGGAATTTGGTGGTTGTATTTCCCATGTTGCTGTCCTATTTATCAATGGCACTTTTTCCTTTCCCCTTCATCCACTGGTTGGAAGGTTCTGTCACATGCTTCACTGCCTAGAAAGACAAACAACATTTCAATTATTTTTATTTATTCAATTATTTATTTATTATCTAGGAACTTGTTCCTAGATGAATTAATCGAGAGTTACAACGCAGTAAGCAGACACGTGAAGAAGTATTTAGAGCCTAAATACCCATCATGAATTGTTGAAGACCTTACAGTAAATACACACAAATTCCTAATTCTTTACAGATTATTTCCCTRTTAAATTGTGTCATCTTCCTCCACAAATATTTTTGCAACAAATACTCTTTGAACACAAATCGTTCTGTTACAGAAAACAGAAAAGATGTTTGAAATCCATCTGCAAGAGAAGACAAACACTGCAATTCTGTGCCCGAGAATTAAAAATTAAGAGTGGTTTCAAAAGCAAAAAGCATTAAACCAAAAAAGCATTAAASCAAAATCATTAAACCAAGGGCTAAAATTCTTCAGGGACGTGCAAAAAGTGAACATCACTGTTTTCGTTCAAAGGATGTCATGTAAAAATGTTCTTGCTACCTATGCACAGGCAGGTGGGTGTAAATGGCACCTTTTGTGCCAGCAAGACCAACGCACATGGAGGTGGGATTTACCTCAGCCTCACTTAGCAGCTCCGCTCAGCGGACTTTAAAACTGCCTATCTCATGACTAAAGCCACAGGATCACTCCTGAATGGACTACATGCATCACACTGGCATATAGGGGCACTGACAAACGGCACCTTGCCCGGCCTTGCAGGGCACCTTGGCTGCAGTTCTGCTCCCACCTGCACCCCACGCAGGGGACGGGCAGCTCAAGCCACACGAAGGCTGGGCACGAGGAGCTCGTGACACAGGACACCAAGCTCGTCAGGCCCCGCAGAGCACGCGCCCATTTATGTCACGGAGAACGTGGGGACTCAGCCGCACGGGGCTGGAGGCAGAGGGAACCTTCCTGGAGGTCCCTGGCRCGCGTGGGTCTCCCCTGCACACTGTGACGGGGCACAGCCGCCTCCTTGGGGTTTTAGAGTCGCAGTTACTGGGGAGTAGAGGCTCTCATAGGTAGAAGCAGCGGAGGAATCAAAGTGATCTGGAGTTGCAGAATATCCAAAGGAATCAGGATGTGGGGAAAAAACACAGAGCTGGGAGTGCTGGAGGCATAAGAAACGTGACAGGTCTGGGATTCTGGTTGGGAATATGAGATATGGAGAAATGCAGAGGTGTCTTAGTGTTTGGAGGTACTCAAACAATACACCCTTAGCCACAGCCAATATCAAATGTGGGTCCCACCTTTAGAAGTTTAACTACTCTGAGCTATTTCAATACAGTCTCTCTGCACGCTGGGGGTGGAGCAGGGAGGCATAAAAGGGAGATAAATGGAAGGAAAAATGGACAATGAAAAAATGAGAAACWGAAAAAGGGAGATAAGCGAGAGGGCAAGAAGAGAATGAAGATGTGCTGATAGGAGAGCAAGGGGAGGGAAGGGGGAGGACAAGCACACAAGGAACCAGCACAAATCAGAGAAAAAAAAAATCAGAGTCAAAACAGTAACAAGTTCCGTAGGTCTCCGAGAAAGACCCACAGTGCCACATTCCCGTTCCCACAGCGTGTTCCTCTCAAGCTCTTTTCTTAAGTTCACGTGACCTCACGTGTCCTTCTGACAGCGGGAGCAGCACCCACGACCCCGCCGACTCTGCCGCCGGCTCCAGGCTCAGGGGGCCGGGGGAATCCTGCAGTCCCAGGAGAGCGGGGCCTTTGCTGGCTCCTCTTGTCATCCCCTCTACCCTCAGAACCCGTATTTTGGAGCTGCTGAATCCTGCCTTTGGATGAGGCAGCGGTGCGAGAAAACCAGGGCTCAAGGCTCTACCGAATCACCCAGCACAACAGGCCAAGCCAAACTGCAAGACTTTCACAGTCAAAGGAAAGAAAATTTTAAGGAGGATTATGAAAAAGAGCCATGTGGCTTTGAGCAGACACACGTGGAATTGCTCCCAGGCCCCTGGATCAGCATTAAGGTACGGCAACGCCTGGAAACTTAACAAGTAACTAACACAACTCTCATCATCACACTCTAAATAGAAAATGAAAGATGATAGAATGGGGGTAGTCCATAAAAGCCTTTCAGATGAAGACAAACAGCTTATATATTTGATGTGAAACCTCTGGAGGAATGCAAGGAGAGAAGTGACGGGGTCAAAACTGGTCCAGAAAATAATTCCCTATGTAAAACACAGAGTACTATAAACTGTAATAATGCCTGTCACCTTTATATAGCATCCACAAGATCTTCCTCTTTCCTACCATGGCAGGCACTGGGCTCTTACGCTCTGGAGAAGTGATGGCTCACACTGGAGCTTTCCTTTCTGAACCAGACATCAAACATGGCAGCAGAAATATGGGCAGATGTGGGAGAAACTGTGTAACTGAAGAGCCGTTGGCTCCCAGCACGCTGGGAAGCCCGAAGGAAACCGGCATTCATAGCTGYTGTCTCTCTCAAGATGCCGCGGGACATGAGCGTCCTGCTGAGAAATGTTCAAGATCTGCCCGTCTGTAACCTTTAGTGGATCCAGCTGACCTAGTTGGCCAGGAAGCTTCTACTTAAATGGAAGGAGAAGGAGGAAAAGACAAGATAGGACATAACAGGTCCTAAAATCACAAGGCTGAAACCAAACACAAAGTTGCTGAAGCTGTTTCAGCAGCTGCACGTAGGGTTAGTGTAACTCAGCATTAAAAATTCCTAGGCTTTTTTTTTTTTTTTTAATAAAAAGTCAGTGTGTAACAAAAACGATAACATGAAAATGGAAAMTTTCAACAACTTCACGTCAGCAAAACAAGACTTGAACAGAATTTTACAGGACAAGAGAAAATCTCTTTAGCACACAGACTCACTCACTGAACTTGCAAGTTCWGTGACAAGATCTTTATAAAGAAAATATCATAACTTTCAGCAGTAAASAATGTAGGAAAAATTAGATGCAACGTTTGCTAAATATTCCCTACATTATTTCAGAATTCAAAGTATCAGCTATCTTGTTGAAAATTAGAAAACGTCTTCCTAGTCTTCTACTGTTTCCAAATAAAAGTTCCAATTGAAATCTAAAATCAAAATACGGTTAACACWAATAATTCTAAAGTCTAACAGAAATCAGGGGTATCACACTCCTCTGCTTCAGCAATAAATCCTAAATATTCTATTGACTTATTAGCAACACTGCTAAAAGCAGTACTTTGCTATTACAGCTCTATAAATGTTTAATAAAGTGATGGTCCCTCTCACAAAGTGCTTAAAGACCAAGGATAAGATGAAAAGAAGGTGAGTGCAAAAAGACATGAGCAGATGAAGGTAGCAGTGAGCTTTGCCAGCAGCTACATCCYAATTACTGCCCATCTCCTACTGATTTTTTTTCCATAGGCTTCATGATACAAGTGAGTTTGAAGAAGGACAATGTTACGGCATCACAGGGGTCTAGGGGTTCCCCCTTCAAAACAGTGGCAAGCTGCTAGCTAGAAATTTATAGATGACACTATGTCATTCATAGTGTAGCCACAGAAGTTAAAATAAAATTTGCAGGTTATAAAAAGATTACTTATTTGACAGGAGATTTTTTTCATATAAACTAGAGGAACACTGCTATGGAATAAGCAGTGAGCTGAGCTCAGAGAAGTAAAACTTTCCACAGCTGCTCACAATTCAATCTCACTACTATCAGAATACAACATATACTGACTAAAACTAACGTTTGTATATTACATGGTTTCCCATATCCTTGCAAAATATTATTTGATAATGAATTGTCTATACAAAAGGATAATTAGAAAAGATAACAAAACAACTTGTTTCCTGAAAGCACCTTGTTTTTGCTAAAAGTACTGAAGTTTGCTGTCCTCAAGCCACTCCGTTTCAAGCAGAGCGAGCTCAAAAGACAACTATAACTTTTCGGGGCACTGTGGTTACAACAGTTCATTTTCAAACAGTGACATTATAAAATATTTATATAGAGTCTGTATAAATATTTTACAGACAATACAGACTACTGTCCTGCATTATAAATCATAATTTATTGTGGAAGAGAATCATGAACAACTTCACAGAAGTTGTTGAACTTCATGCTTTAGAAAAAAAGCCTAGTAATTTAGTATACTTAGAAACATGTCAATAATTATAATGCTCATTAACATTATGGAATGCTAATTGGATGGAAGCAAAAGTATGTGAAAAAYTGGGCACAAGAATTCTCAGAACAGCAGGTCCTCTTTCAAACAGAGGAGAAAAAGCTCTGGCCATGTCGTCTTCTCCCCTCTCCCAAAGTAAAGGGCAGTACATACCCACAAATGGCTCATTGACCAAGACAACAAAACTAAAACTAAAGCATTCAAAACCACACATACCTACTTTATGTACAGTTGGCAGAGATGTCTATARTTAAGATATAGTAGGAAATTTCAGGTTAAGGCAAGCTTTTCCATGCTTATAAGTAAAGATTTAAGATTTGCCAAATTTCAATTATTGGGCAAAATTTTTCCATGCTGGGTATTTGCTTCTGCAGGTGTTTTTCTGGGACTTTTGAATAAGAAATGAAGCAGTAAGGCCTAAGAATCAAGTTATGGAGAAAGTGTGTGTTTTGGCATTACTAAAATATACCTGAGGTTTGTGCCCAGTTCTGAGGTTGTCGGCATGAAATAATTAACACATTTCTTCCAGTTCAGACCTTCTGAATGGACTTCTCCTTGTCATATTCAATGTATACACAAAAAACAACTGATATGTCAATATATAGAATTATACACAAATATAATGTCTCACCCCCTGAAGAATGAGTACGACCTATAATGTTTCTATTTGTTAAATATCACGTTTGGAAAGTGGCAATAATGATGAGTGTTGAATAGAACACAGTTTAGGGTACTGAAAAAAGAAAATTCTTTATTTATATGATTATGGGACAATGAATCTAATGACTTTTTCTGAGTGCCTTTTTTAAAAATTTATTTTATATATATAATACTTTACCCTAGGG